CCCACAAGAAAGCTGTGTACACACTCTTTAATGGGAGATAACAATATGGCATGCAAGGCAAACAAAAGCGCTTGCAATCAATTTCCAGGACATTCCCCCTGATGGGGAGAGATTAGTTCGATCACACATTCAGCCCTGTTTTTTTATCTTCGAAATGAATGAATGTATTCCGCTCCTCCTTCCCTTGTCGCAGAACTCTCTTCCTGTCGGAACTCTTTGCTCATTCCTTTAAATTCCAATGTGGAGAGGCTGACTTTCCAGGGTTACAGTCCATTAACTGATAAAGCTGGACTTAAGGTTGGAGCAGTCTGGCTCAATGCAAAGGATGCAGGGAATGTTTACATTCTCCTTAGTGGGAAAGGCACTTCACCAAAAGGCATCCAGTCTAGACACATGCTCTGGTGTCTGATTCGACTTTCATGTAGCCAAAAGCCAAGTGAGCAGGTGGACACAATTTTACACTGTGATAAATTGCAGCCGTCGGAACATTAGTTCTTCTAGTTTCCGCCCAACATTAAAATACAGAAATAATGTGTGTTCTACAAATGGAATGCATTTCGAATGAGACAAAATACAAGAAAAAAGGAGATAAGAATCAAAGCCGTGCTGTGTATGTAATGTAATAATGAAAACAATCTTTTTTCAGATTTGAAGTACAGTGCACTGAAGTGAAAAAGAGAGAGGGAGACAGAGAGAGAAGAAGAGATGAACTGAAGCATGATGAGTGAACTTTATAATCCACAGGGTAAAATGAAAAGAAACAGATGAAATACAGCTTTTAAAGACATGGTTAACTGCAAATAACAGGACCATCATTCTATATTAACTGCTGTAAATAATATTTAGTTTCAAGTATAAATAAAATATGTACTCTCATTGTAGGTTAAATTCTCTTTCTGCTTTTTATGTATTCAATAGTCCAACCTGGTTTCATGATTCCATATCTCTTACGATCTATGTGATATTAAACAGCTGACACAAGAGTGAAGAATCCAGTGTACTGTCCAGTAAATTTTTTTAAAGGTTAGTGTGTCATCAGTCTCTCAAAAGTTCTTTTACAGTAGTAAATCATTAAGCAGCCTTCTGAAATGTTTTAGCATTATTCTGAAACAGTTACTCATTTATTAAAGAAATACCCCAACTACTCTTGGGATTCATATTTCTGTGATACAATATGAATCAATGAAAAGCAGTGAGGCCTACTCTTTAAATGTTTATTTGCACAAGGACATTTCAGCCCAGACTGGCTTTACATGTTCCACATTGATTGAAGTTCAGTTACTGGCCTTCAAGCAGGCTGAAATATGCTTCATCTGAGGGGCTTTGTGCTGGTTTTCATTTTGAATTGATTGTGTTAAATAAAACATAACTAACAGGACTACTGTATCATTTATAGGCTTGGTGCAGTGACCACAATGAATAGAAAACATGGTAACTGTTGTCCAGAACGCAGGGATCACATTAGCAGACACAGACAGAAATATATATATGTATTGCTACCCTGTTTTTTTCCTTCAAACCAGTACATTTGTAAAACCATCTTTTCAATAATAGTAATTAATGGGGACATTGGATGTATGGGAACTACTTGAAATGGGAGTAAATTGCATTGTAATGTGGTGATGAACGGGTACATTGCAACACAGGGTTCACAGGTTGACAGCAGCATACATAGAATGATCAAGCATTCAATGGTGAGTATTTGTAAAGAGCTGACTAAATGCTTAATGAATGTTTAAATAATATGTATTCTTGTGATGTATGGTCTGCATGCCTTGGTCTGATGCAGCAGGTAAAAAAGCACATATCAGTGAAAAACAAAACTTTTGAAAATTAGTTATTTTTACTTTTTTATATATTGCTAATCATGTCACCCTTGCGTCACAACAAAATGCAACTATCATGGAGCTACTAAAGAAAAAACATTGGTTTCAGGTAAATGTTACCCTGTAGTTACTGGACAAGGTTAGCTATGGTTATAGAAAAATTCATCTAGGTGGCTCTGCACAGAGGTTACACCAGCTGGACAATGCTGCCCTTCTGCGCTCTGTGAGCTTTAACAAGCAGGAGTGCCTGTCACAACAATGCACGATTATTGACTGAAGGAACCAGACAAAATCAATACTCATCCTCCCCTAGAACTGCTTTTATGTATTTCTGTTTGACTGTTTCTTTGTTTAAAAGTGAAATTACAGCAGTAAACTTAGGTTCAGGTTTTGCATTTATTTCCATATTTATGATATTTGTATTCCCAAAAAGAGAAAGTCTGTTTAAATCACTACAAATGTCACTTCATTGGCACTATAATATGTAGCCATTGCCTGTGCTGCCTGTGTATTTTAATTAAATTCTACAATTAGGTAATAATACAAAGTTAAAATGTGAATGTATAATGTTAATATAACGTTAACATTGGTATATTATATTGTCGAATTGGTATAATGTAATATGTTCATTTTGTCCAGTCTGGTAGGCAGCAGTTTTAAGAAATAAAACAACCAGGACAACCAAGACAGATAAACAAATGCCTAGCCCTGACATTTACTGGCCATGTATAGATGTATTTACTGGCCATATATAGATAGAAGGTGAGATTCATATCTGTGATACCACGTAAGAAAAAGATGCCTCTGACTCCATCACAACAGTAAATTCACAAATACAGAACTGAGAGATTTGGATGATCTAATGCACATCATGAAAATGAAACCAGTCAATCATCTCATAATTAGAATGCCTAATAATCTTGGCCCAAAAATGTATATCACAACATATTTCTCAGTATATTCAAATATATTTCATTTCTATGGAGGATGGCTTTTATGTGGACCTTTTCTTTTTATTATAAAATTGTAGGTTTAAGGATGGGTGATACTGTTTCCCTTTTCCTGGTTCACAGAGGTTTCAAAAAGTTGAGGTCAGTTTTGTTCAGTACAACCTTCAGATTTGGTTTTCAGTTATGATTTTAATACACTTCTTGCATAGTTCTCATTTATATACAGTATGTACATGTGGATTTACAGATGTAATTCAGGTTAACCATTCTGTCTTAGAGTAAATATGAAATCTTGGAATCAAACCTGCAACATTATTCTGGTAGAGATGACATAACAATAATACACAGAGAATAAGAATTTTAAAAAATGGTGTAATTGAGCCCACAACAAGATAGATATCCATCAAGAATGAAAAGTCACCTCTCTCTTTGTCATGCAGTAACATTTGTTGTCCACATTTATTCAGCATAAGTACTTTGACCTGTAGTTATTAGCAATATTATTGAACATTGGTGTTCAATACGTAGCATTTGATCTAATTACGCCTGCTTTTAAGCAGAGCTGCCAGAGATGGTATTTCAAAATGCTTTTCATTCAGTTAAACCAGGATATTGTGAACCATCATTGGTGCATGACTGTGTTTTTACTGTGTTTATAAAAATACTCACAACTTGCAAGTGGTGCAACATTAATTTAGAAAATTAAGATGAGTAGAAATGTTAGGGTACTGTTCCTCCTAGCGACTAGGAAAATGAAATAAATCCAATGAAAAGAAAACAAGATTAAACATAATGCAATACACTTGACAAAATTTTCTATGCAGCTGTAACTTCAAAGGCTAATAACTGAGATTGAAGATTTCTGTTCTCCCAGCGACACATTTAAAAGAACTTAATTCCTTTTAATTCTAGTTTGTAGGAGGAGACAGAATCAGGTATTTGTTACATTACATTACAGGCATTTAGCAGACACTCTTATCCAGAGCGACTTACACTGGTTACAATTTTTCCATGTTACCCATTTATACAATGGATATTTACTGAGACAAGTCTGAGTTAAGTACTTTGCCCAAGGGTACAGTAGCAATGCCCCAGGAGGGAACTAAACCAGCAACCTTTTGGTTAGAGGCCCTGCTCCTTACCACTATGCTACACCGCCACCCCGGTTTGTTCCTATTAAACCCAATACACATGTGATGTGTAAAAGCTGATGTTCCTCTGCATCTTGCATCTGGCCTCATCTGCATGCAGACAACACAGCAATGAGATTCATTTTCCATTTCCAGACATCTGCTAATAGCACCAAATCAGTGGATCTTCTCCATGGAAAGTGACATGATCACTAACCAAGCATGAACCATCATGCAAAATACCTATACCCACAGGTCACTATTTTTACATGAAAACTAACTCCATTTGCAATTACCATAACTCTGCATTTTAATTTTACCCAGAGATGTGAAAGAGACTATGCCCTACCTCTAGTTCTTCCAAAGGTCAATCATTGTTTATCACACTTCAGGTGCCACAGAAAAGTCTGCTGCAGAGGTACGGCTTTGCATATTAGTGACACTTTTTTCAAAAACTTATTTCACCTACAGGTATTGGTAAGCTGCTTTGTTTAATATCACCTGCAAATCCATAATCCTGCCATGCTTTCCCCCACCTTATTCTAAATATTTTGTATTTGTTTTCCTAGCAGACACTGTTATCTGGGACAACATTCATAGCTTAGATTTAATCCACTCAAACAGCAGGAGGTTTACTGAAGGGAGCTGAGTACCTCTCTCTAGGGGGAAGCAGCTGTAACCTTCCTGAGATGTGAGTCCACAGCATTCTGGTTCCCTCACCACTGCACCATATGGCCATATATAATGGAAACATGTTTATACACTGTAATTGTTAAACACCAAAATCTTATCATTTCAATGCAAACATCTAAACAGGAAGTCTTCCTCACAAGTGCACCCTTTGGATGCACAGGTTTGAGGACTGATGTGGCATTACTGTAGTTCAACATAATCTGTTCATGATAGTTTAACATGGGAAGAAGGTAGTGAATGAGCATGCTGTGAATTACGTTACATTATTGCCATTTAGCAGATGCTCTTATCCAGGAGGACTTCCATAGGTTACAATTTTTGCATGTTATCCATTTATACCGCTGGATATTTACTGAGGCATTTCTGGGTTAAGTGCCTTGCCCAAGGGTTTATCAGCAGTGCCCCAGTGGGGAATCGAACCCAGCAACCATTCGGTTATGAGCCCAGCTCCTTACCACTATGCTACACTACCAAATTGTGTTTTTCTACTGTGTCACATGAAAATTTACATTTATATTTATTTGTTTGGCAATGGCTCTTACCCGGAGTTACAAAAAATATGTATTTAATGGGGTCAGGTAATTAGCTGCCATCATGAGAAGCATTGCCAAAAGGGGAGTCAGTATTGTTGTGATGGGACACACACCCTTAAAGTATCTTCTCTAATTTCCAGCAACAAATGACAACACTGTCACCCCAAGTTAACCCTGCACCGGTCACACCTCCTAACTGTAAAAGCACTCTTGTCCTGCTGAGCAGATCTGATGGCCAGCGTTCATACTGGTGAACTTCCCCCGGGATGATGAACTGCCCCAGTGATTGTGTACTGCCCCTGTCATGGACAGAGTGCATTGTGGGTGGAGAGACTCTTACACGTACACTGTGGAACTGCCTCACAGCGGCCTTTGTGTGTCTATATTGTGAGAAGAGATGTGCAGTTACAAATGCACTATGGAGCTTCCTTGTAGTTGTTCACAGTAGACCGCAGCATGCAGTGAGAGTGAAGGGCATGAATATGCACAGTCGCTTGCTTCCACATCCCAGGGGAACAGCAATGCTGGTTTTACACACAATGAGGATTCTTTTCCCACCACAAAGTCAATACTTCTGCCCATTGATCCCTCTGGCATTACTGCTGTTACACAGCCTCTTTTGTACAACACTAGAGCCCCAACAGTATATTGTAGCAAGCACTACATAACTGCATGCAAACAATCTGTGGGATGTTTCGGGATCAGATTATTCAATGCCAGACTGTTTAAATTCTATGCAAGGTAATTATTAGTCTCCATATGATGTAAAGAATTCAAATATGGCATTGTTTTAGCAGGAGAACTTTTGATGCAATACGCCTATCTTTTTTGATTCAGGACAAATATAAAACTATAAGTGGTATTATCAATCTGTGGGAAGATGTATCAGCTGAAAGAATGAACAGCAAGCAAACTGAAATCAAAGCCGTCTCTTTCCATCTCGTCACTTAACCTATCTCATCACTTCAGCGCAAAAATCAGGGTGGAGACAAACAGACAGCAGGCAGATTCAAGATTGATGACTGAATATAAATCTACCCGCACCTTGATTAAAAACAATACAATTTCCTGAGGAAATAAAGACTTATGACAATGTTGAGTGGTTTTTCAATTCCATCCAACTCAGCCCGCACCCAACCATCCATCAACAAATATTCATAAATTACCAGATGTTGGGTTCTCAATATACTAAGAGAGCATTGTTTATGAAGATGGCCACTATGTCTGTATTAAATTTCAACATTTCATTTATATTCAAGATTAGCTGAAAGTACCACAATAGACAGGTGCCCTATCAATGAGATCCACAGTTATTGAACTCAAAAGACAGTTAATATCATTAGTTCTTTACATTCAAGAGAACCTAAAAAAAAACCAAATAACATCCAATTGAAACAAAATGTGCTTAATCATGATGTATTTTGCAAATGTTTCTCCAGCAGATCTTCTGATGAATTATTTCTTTAAAATGTTTCATGTCCACTTTCATATTCAGTATTTTTGCAGAATATGGTATGAAAAAATATTCATTGTGGGAGCAAATGTCAATAATTGAGTCATTTTAAGGCACCTTTGTTGTGCATTTACGAAGGTTTTTTAATAATGCAAGACAGTGAAGGAAAGAATTCTGTTTAGAATTTAACCCCAGTAAAAGGGGAACAGATACAGCTGACAGCACTTTCATAGTGTTTGATGGATACCTCGCTATCTGCCAACATTATCATATTCATCCTGGGAGGCCCAGGCTGAAGGGATGTTGCCCTGAGGAATTTCTCTGTCTTGAGACCACATGCTCCCACTACCCTGTTTCTGAGACCACCCTAACTGGAAGAAGAAGCCATACAAAACATCACATCTTAACTATAAATGTCTGACTTAATGCATAAAGACCAGAAAACGCTTTGACGCCATCAGTGGAATAAGGTCCTAAAAGTCCTCTTTGAATGTGGTCCTCTTACTTCCACCAGCAGACAAAGTTGGCACGTAACTTTCCTTTGGCCCTTGCAGGGTACAGATGGGTCCGACAGTGTTGCCGGGATTTCTGTCACACTCAGTGTCTTGCGCTGGCCTGTGGGTGGCTGGTGCACTGTGACTGAACGAAATTTGCCCTATGGACAATAGCACCTCCATGACGGGGGCAGCGAGGGGTGAGGGCCAGCCGGAAGGCCAGCTGGCTCAGCGGGCCACCCCGTCTCTCCCCAGCTGGCGAAAGATGAAGACGGGAAAGGGCGCACAGCGAAAGGGGGGGGGGCAGGCGCCGTCTCATCACAGGGGAGGGGGGAGGACATCACCCACGTTACTCAGCCAGGACCAGCCATGCTGTCATTGCGGACCGGCACGGCAAATATCATGTGACCGTATGTGAAACGGCTCCGGCTTTGCGTGACTGTGATGTAACCCCTGCCTTAAATGAAAACCAGATGGCCTTTGAGCTTTCACTAAAACTGACAAGAAAAAAAGAGGAACAGGGCAACCCTGTGAGACAGAGGTGAGAAGCCAGGTGCCGACTTACACGAGCTGCGGCGCAGGCACTCAAATCCCCCGCCTGCGTCATTACACACAAAACCCTGTTCTGTTCCGCTTTCCGCACGGGCTCCCAAAAACAGCACGAGTTGAAATTTTCACTCATTATCTTGATAATAAGAATGTCAAATAATTATTTTCAACTGTTCTCTTTTTCTTCTGTTCATTTCCTTCTATTTTCCTATTGTGGGCACATTTATTCTCAGGAATATATGGCACAGACAAAAAAGCTGTTCATATGACAAGAACACTTTGAGTTTTATATACATGTCAATTTTGAAATAAATAATCATTGTATGACACTATGCATGTTGCCTCTTTCTCCTCATCCCTACTTCTCTAGATTATAGCACAGGTACTGTAATTAGATTTCACACAATGCATTTATTTCATTGTCTATGAACAGTAATGAGCACATAGATAAAGTCTCCTTTGTGACATCAATAAATGTGCTGTGGATGTGGAGGACACAGATACACGCCCCGACTTAATTATTATACCACGCAGTTATTTCAATCGGAAAATCAATTCTTTTTCACACAGAAAATGCATTACATTCTGTTCACATACAATACACCAGCAAGACTGTTCCTTCAAACAGCACGCACTGAAAGTCAGCAAAGCACATTTGGTTGTGTAGTTCGCTCACAAGCGAACGAGCATGTACTGCAGAATGCTGAGAGGGATTAACTTGCCATTTTAAACATTAAGCTGCATTTCTTTAATTACATAATCAGCTGCAAAACAAGATGAGGTCATTTATGAAATCAGGCATTGTAAATATTCAGCTACACTGTGGACCTACATAGCCATGAGTTAGAGCAGTGAGTTAGAGCAATGAGCAATCCAGGAATGGCATCTCTAAGGATACAGTATGAATAGCACAGAGCAGTGGGGAGAACATAGACGAATGTTGGGTTTGTATAGAATGAAAGCAGAGGTCTGTAGGTACATAATCCCTTCTGCGCTTGATGTGCACAGTCATATATTTTTCCTCTGCCACTGTATATGACACACAAGGAGACGCATGAAGGCCAGTGGAAAAGAGCAAATGGGGATTCCATTTAGTGACCATTTGTCTCACTTGCAAAAGCTTAATGTCAATGAAGAGGAACAAAAAAGACAATTAATACAGAATAAAAATACAGAAAAAAATACAATAATACAGAAAAAAAGGCCAGGAAGTGTGCAGTGGCTCAAAAAAGGTCTTATTCTCCAAGAAAATGTAACTGAACATCATAAATAACATTTTTTAACAAATACAGTCATCCTGAAAATATAATATAATAATTAATATGGATAGAATGCCATTTTGTAGTGGTGAGTAGGTTGCTCTGGAAAATCTCTTTGATGCACTAATGCACAGCTAGAAAAGACTTCAGAATGGCTAAAATTAGGAACCGAATGGGTTATTTTTAAAACAAATTAACAAATGTCACAGATAACCTCTCATCTGAAAAAAAACTAGAAGGGGAAAGACAATAGTCTTAGCTGTAAACATATGGTTTTCTGCTTTAATTACATAACCAGTCAGAATTCGTAGTTGTTAGAGACCTGAGCTTGTAACTACTGTACAAGATTGTAGGCTCAGAGTGGAGTATCAAGCAAGGTACTTAATCTGAATAGCGTCTGTAAATGTCCAGCAGTACAAGTTAATAATATGTTTGTCTCAGTTTTAGCTGTTGGGCTGTAAACCTGAGGAGGGTGAGTGCTCCTGGAAGAAAATTATTGGCCACATCTCTCTAAAATGGTTAGTTTGGGTGGGTTCTGGGGCGAGAAGGATATTACTTCATTCGACAATTAATTAGACAATGAATGCAATTTAATACGAGCGCAATGCTTTCAGTTCAAATTAAATCAATTTAACTTGCATAAGCATTTTATAATACATAGTGAAATGTCCAAGAAAGAGTGGCAAGGAAAACCAGCCATCACCAAGAGCAAAGGAGGATAGTAACACAGGATTCAACTCTGCATTTGAAAATAAAATATCTTATACTCCTCTGCAATGTGACAATTTGATAAGCATTCAAAATGTTTACCATTTGAGAACAAAACAGCTTTCAGGAGTTCCCCACGTCCTGCTTCGGATATGGAGCAACTGTGTTTCTCCTTTTCCTGTGCGTTGTGCCTCTTCTGAACTGCATATTTCCAATAAAAATAAACACTGCATATATGGTCTATCAGAAAACAAATACGGCAGATAATGCATCCACCAAAGAAAACACTGACTGGGCATTGCGACCATCCGAAACTTCAAAAAACAATGAAACATTCTTGAATGATTCCTGTAACAGCCACATATTGTAGGATACAGGAGAACTTGGCTTTACAGGCAGTGTCGGTGGTTTCATCTATTTGCCATGCAAAAAAGGAGGTGTGGTAACTGTGATATCTTTAACATCAGTTGTTTATA